AGAGGCTTGAGAGGATGAACAGTATAGAACAGTGTCATCGGCGTACATCAGAATATTGCAATCGGACACTACTTCCTGTAAATCATTAATGTGTAGAATAAACAATAGTGGCCCGAGAATAGAACCCTGAGGCACTCCAGTAGAGACGGCTTCTGAAGTAGAAGTCACCCCTTGAAACTCTACAACTTGGGTGCGGTTCGACAGGTAATCCGTAAACCAGCCATGCTCTTTATCCAAAATCCCCAAATTGGAAAGCTTGTCCAGAAGTACCGCATGATTCACAGTGTCAAAAGCTTTGCGAAGGTCAATAAACACAGCACCAGTTAATTGACCTTGATCCATGTTCCTTCGAATATTATCAGAAAAACTAAGAGCAGCGAATTCTGTCGAGTGATACTTCCGAAACCCGCACTGATAAGGGCTCAAAATCTTGTTTTGCTGGAGATATTTGTAGAGTTGGATATGTACAGCCCGTTCTAAAACCTTAGATAAAACAGGTAAAATGGAAATCGGGCGATAATTGTCCATCTCATCAGCCTTTCCTTTCTTAAAAAGTGGAATGACCCGTGCGGATTTCCAATCACTAGGAACTTGGGCAGTACGCAACGAGGTGTTGATAATAAACGCCACAGGCTTAGCTACAATGTCCGCAGAATCTTTTAACAGGCGAGCCGGTATGCGGTCCAAACCCACGGCCTTCCCAGATTTCAGGCTACGTAGTTGAGACATAACAAACTCCCCAGAGATCTCAAGAAAATTAAACGGCGGATACTGACAGGCAGGAGTAACGGAATAACGTTGTTTATGACCACAAGTTTTCCGTAAGGTGGCCATCAATTTGCTTGCTGCAGATGCGAAAAACTTGTTAAATGCGTTGGCAATGCAATGTTTGTCAGAAGAGATAGCGCCGTCTACTTTGATGTTCGGAGAAGTAGCTTTCTTTTCACCCGGTAGGATTTTCTTCATCGTCTTCCAAAACAATCTGTAATCGCCACCACTTTCCTCGATGAGCCGTTTATTGTAAGAACTGCTTGGGTTTCTTAGGGAGTAGCTCTCATTAACACTAGCAGCTTTGAATGCACTTTTACTTCTCAACTGAATCACAACTTTGACCTGTCACTGGCATTTCCACCATTAGCCCTTTGTCAGAGCAAAAGATAAAGGAGTAATGCTCAAAATGTCAGCTTTGAAACTTTTCACAGTGTCCAATTCACATTATCAACTCAGTTGATAAAACCAAATGAACTTGTTGTACTCTCCTACTCATGCAGCACCACAGTTTCCTTTGAAACTTACTTTGTAATATGCCTAGACTGGTGGAGAAATTTACTATGAAAAAAATGTACACTTTGCTGTCCATTGCAACCCACTCCACTAACAATTGTGCAAAATTGTGGTCAGTTGTCACTAATTGGGCTGAAAATTGATGGTTGGAAACCTCAGTTTAAGGCTAGTTACAGAAGGTGACTAGCATAGGATATTTTCATTGTTCTCTCGGTGGAGTGATCTAAACCAGTTCTCAATAAATAAATGAATAATAAGTGGCAACATTATTTTGTCTGTTAAAACCAGCAATTTACAAAGCCTGGGATAAGATGTAATAAAATGACCTTGAAGTGATCTTTTATTTGATCTCATTCATCCACAGGATCCAAAAGAAACTCCCCCTCCTACGCGGGGAGAAACTAGAGATGAAAAAACAGAACGCAAGGTACCTTAAAGTAACGATGTGAATATTTTTTTACCTGTATGTTAGAAAAATGGGAAGCAAGAAAATGATTACAATGAAAAATGGTCAGGCAATCCCAGGGTTCAACATCTAATGGTAGCCAACTTGTCACAAATGGGTAGAAATTCAGTTTTGGCTGGTGGTTTTTTATTTCCACTAGCCAGTTTGGCTAGTAAACAAACTGAAATTGTTGTGACATAAAAGTTGTTATTAGCCACTTCTCTAGTAAGTTGAAAAGTTAGTGTTGAGCCCTGAATCCTTTCACGGAGGAACTGATAAAAATTCAATACCAGAAATCTGAAGAAATAAACTGTAGTGATGTGCATTTCTCCATTTTTATTCCAGATTATAGGATTATGAACTAGATTGAATAGCTGTGTTAAAGCCTAGGTGTGGTGCTCAAATCAGCTTTGTTAGGTTAAGGTGCCAACTGTCTACTATTATATTTGCAATTTATTCCAGAGGAAAGAAAAAATAGAACGTACCACAAAGTTTCAAGAAGAGCAGATGGAGCAATGTAAGTCCATGTAACTTTACATTTCACAAAACACAACCCAATGAATGTGTTGTTGGTGAAGATTTTTTCTTTTTCATTCTGGAAAATCTCTCACAATTTGTGATCAAATTTTGCTCTGGAATATTTCTCTCGTTACCACTGGAATACACTGCAATTAGCTGTTTGCAGAGTTGAGTGCTCACTTAGGAGCCCAGCAAATGTTGGCAACCTAAGTTTGGCAGATACTGTGAATGTGAGAGCTTCCCTTGGAGATGATCATCTCTTCTATTCTCTCAGCATTTTCTTGCCTCAATACATTATAAAATGGCTACATGTTTACATCCCCAAGTTTGACTATTTTGTCTTTAGATTAATTTGTTTCATTTTTTTTTTTCAAGGGGATCCTCATAATGATGCAAATGCTGTAGGAACTGATGCATTCAGGACACTTTTTGTCGGAAGAATTGTATGTATTATGTGTATCAGATTAAAATAAGTAAGTGGGTTGAAAATGACCTACACACACCAACCCTATGTCCCGCAATAAGGAACCACCAGGCTGTGGGCAAAATTAGGTTTTTTTATATCTCAAATGGTTAGCAGAGCTAGACAGAAAGAGTGCCAGGTTGTAAGCTTAACTTTTTTGGTAACCTGAAATTTTTAAAATGGTGGCCAGTAATAAAAAAAATTTTAAACCAAAAAGAACACTGTGTGTAACATGATTCAAGGTGCTACACGTGGCTTGTTTCTTTTTTTTTTTTTTTTAACCTTTTGCCTCTCAAGAGTGACCAACATCTAATTTCTCCCCACAATATCCCCCCTGAATCACACAGTAAGGTCAGGAGAATAAAGCAACTGATCACCGACCAAAGAAACTCTTGATTGTTAAACAAATTCTCCTTGTCAGCGCCTTAGGGTCAAAAGGAGAATGGTTGTCAATGGTTGACCTATCAAAATCATTTTGTAGAGGATTACACTTTGAGATGTCATGTGAACCTGGTAAATGTGGAGAAAGAGGCAAAACTATATGCTTGAATAAAATTTCAACAAAATTTTTATCTCTCATCAACTTCAGACCTTAAACACTTAATACATTGTGGACTGAGTGAGATATGAAAATATCACTTTGGTTTGAATTTTGTCATACTGTAGAACTTTGACACCTCAGAATCTAAGTTAAGACGAGAGATGGAGTTGTATGGGCCTATCAAAAGAGTGAGTAGCTTACTTTTGACATCATGTTACTTTGACTTGTAGATCGTCATTTTTTTTCAGCAGTGTTATTAGATGCAGTTGTCCCTTAATTTAAATGTATGATGGAACACATTGGTGTAAACTTAACAAGGGTAAATTTGTCACACTTTTAAAAGCAATATCAGGGATGTTTGCTCTAAATTGTTCCTACATTTATTTGCAGATTCATTTAGTGCACAATACAACAAATGACAAGCCACGGGGTTATGCCTTTATTGAGTATGAACATGAACGAGACATGCATGGTGAGTATCGCACAATTTTTGTCAATGTCAACTCAAACATTTCTATTCAGTTATGTCGTACTTTACTTCTAGATCCATGTCTGTTGTAGTTTAAAATGAATTTAAGTCAAGGTGAGGTTCACCTAGTTTAATTTGAGATCATTTTGAACTGAATTCTATTTCAACCTACAACATGTACACATGGTTTTCAATGCGTAACAATTTTTCCTAAAATTTCCTTGTTGTACTTTGAAAGCAGGGTATGAAGGAATGTATGTGTATAGACTCATAATTTTTATTAAAAGCAATGATGGTGATTTTCACAAGTTAGGTGTATTTAGTTCAGTGAAAAGAATAACAAAGAATGACCTGAATTTTGATTTTGGAAATTACACATGTGTATGTTGTGGTTTAAATTTTTTGATCTGGTTGATTTTAGTTTGCTTAGTTTCCTTTTCATTATCTTGGCTTGAAAATGTTAAATTCAAGGAAAAACCACAGCATGCAAATGTATGGATATTTGATAGTTCTCAAGTTCATAATTACAGTAATTAGCAAAAATTAAAGGTAGAATGTATTCTTACTCCAGTAAAAGTATGATAGAGAAAGTTACTGCAAGCAGCTGTGAGAGGTACAAACGAGGCACATGGGTAATGGTGTAAAATATTTTAAATACTAAGTATTTTAGTGCATAGTATATAGTGAAAGATTTAACACATACATACAGACAGACATATATAAAGGTTGATGTACCCAAAATGTATGATATATTCAAAATGCATTTTTATGCACCCACTATAAATTGTCCTGTTTACCCATGGTGCTAAATTTTCCAGTATTGCAAAACCTGATGTCACTTTTCTTGCTCTTTGGATTAAATAATGACAGAAGAAGAAACAATTAAAAATAGGTAAAAAGGAAATCAAGAAAACGGGAAATTTTCTCTAACAGCTTTGATTTTAAAGCTGCATTTGAAACATGACAGACTAGTCTCTCTTGTTTTTTTTTTTTTTTTAAGCCTGGTCAATTCTTTTTCACTTTGTGACACATAAAAGTTGACAAATTAAGCTTGTTAAAGAAGATTTTGGCAAAGTTTTGGCTTTAAAGAAATTTTTTTTGCTCAGTACAAATACCCTATGTGAGGGTACATGTATATCCTGTAGTTATGGGAGGGAAAGTTTGTGATTTCTTTACTAAGTTTCCCTATTTTGATCGAATCTTGCAGTGAATACTATATCACTCACCATCACTTGAAACTGAGAGTTATCTTTGATGGGCCAGTACTTGGTTAACTTTTCCAATTACTCTTGAACTCTCCTGAAAGATAATCAGGTAAAAATGGTGGGTATAGGTTTCTGACAGGTAAAACAGAGTTTACCATCACTTTTTTCAGTGAAAAGAAAAAAAATTAAAGCTGTCTATGAAAACAAGGTCTTGTGGTGGTGGAAAATTTCATTGAAAATCAGATTTGCAGTGGGAGAGAAATTGCATACAATGAAATTATCTGTTGCAAGGCAAATTTGTTTTAAGAACCAAGTTTTGTCATCTGTGAATAATACATTCTAATAATAGATTTTGAAGTTGTCCTGATCACATAGAAAAAAACTAACCAAATTTGATTCAAATCGTTAGAACTTCCAATCTTTGCTTTCGACATTTTATGCTATCAAGGCAGCATTTTATTTACTTTCTATTTGCAATAAGGCGGAATTTGTTTTCTAAAGAAGATAAAGGAACAATTTTTCTACTTGGACATGAATATCCTACAACAAAATGGGGATGGATGTTCACCATACAGGAAAAGGGGTAAAAAAAAACTCAAGGATAAATTACAACTTAAATTTGTGTACGGGAAAGGGACGTGGGCAAACTTTCATGTAAATGTAATTATTTCACGGGTGAGTATAACTAAGGGAAGCCAATTTGTCATTTCTGTCTGTTTTATTAACTAGGTAAGAATGGACTAGTAATTCCATTTTCTGAAGAGTTATGGAAACACTTTTGAACAGTGAACAGCAGTGTCCAGTTCATTACAAGTGTTTCCATGACTCCATTGGAACAGTACAAACCGTTCATAAGAATTCTTGCCGCACCATATATGTAATAGTTTGTTGCTTCAACTCTGAAGTTTCAGATTAGTTTATCATGGTCTCAGTCCCTGCAGAGCCAAATCTCTTAGTGATGATAATTAGATTGAAATGATTTTAACAAGGTGTGGGTGGGATGGGCTGTTTGATTGGCTTCCCTTGGTGAAGTCACTGGTTGTGATGGTAAGGAACTCCAGTGACGCATACACAAAGTACTGGAGAGCAATGACTGTCTACACTCTTTGCCGAGTAATGTTGGTTCCGTAAGGACCTGGCAGGAGTGTGAGTATAATTACACTTCATCTTTTCTTTGTACCCCTAAATTCCATTTAATTTCATTTTTGCAACTATCTCACAAAAGTAAGAGCGATCTTCTCCAAGGGAGTATTTTGTTGGTGTAGTTCAGTAAGGGAAGGTGTATTGTTATTGTTTTTGAATGTCAGAAACTCTTGGGGAAAACGATTATTCCAGTGTGTAGTGATGTGAAGCTGGTATGCAGACACTTTTTTCGCTTACATTCTGAGCTCGGGGAAATATAAATACCAACTTAAGAATTGTTGCAGGAGACCTTTTGGTTTAGATTTCTCTTGAAATGTCAAAATGCTACAAAGAAACTTTAGTTCGAATATGAGAAGAGCTGGTCAGATCTTTTTCTAGCTGCGTGATTTCCAAGTGTCAGGTGGAATCTTTAAATAGTAGAGAGTGTGTTAAAGTTAGCATACTGACTTGTTTTGGTTGTGCCATTGATGACTAGCTCTCCTCATTCCCTCGACACATCACATATTGACTATATTTTCATGCAGTCAACCCCTGGTTATCCAAAGTATTCTGTGGTCCTTGCTTAAAATGATTTCAGTTGTAAAGTTATCAGTTTTATTCAATGAGTGAAAAGCAAGAATTTACAGCTTGTTTCCCTTTATTACCGCGCACCGAGAAGGGAAAACCTTTCTCTACTTAAAACGACACCTGAACCTCATTATAACAGGGAAATTATCTCTTTGAACGAGTTTCTAAACTTTGATAAGTTTGACATGGGATACCATGTTGCTGAATCACACCTGTGCCACAGAATTTGTGTGACTGAGGGTCAACTGTTTACTAAACTTGAATGCCTTCTCTACCACAAAGTTAACCGTTATAACAACAGGTTAAAAACACGCAAATCATTCGGGTCACTCAAATTCTACGGGTTAATAATTACAAACAGTTCCTTACAAAACCTCAACCAACAGTTGACTTTGAGGTTGTGGAGGGAAACTGTCTTTCATTGTTCCCAGTGAGCGATTTGCTCAGTGCCCAGCGCCATGCACTTTTTCTTCTAAGCAGCTGCAGGGCAGAAAACCCAGTTGTGCGTAATACATTAGTAGCAAAGACTAAATGGGTTGAAAGGCTCTATCTGGAGACTATTAGTTTGAAGAATAGTTTGAACACCAAGTATCAAAAACTGTTTGTTAATCGGTGACAGTATGTGCCCGTCTTGTTCAAAAGTGAGGACATAGACAGTTTCTAAAACTATACAGAATGATCTACGACGGCCGCCTGTGAAAATTAAATTCTTGATAGCGTGAGAGAAGGCCACCTTTATTTGCCTTTTGGGACGGGTGTTTCGTTGCCTGCAGGAAGATTTGAGACGAGTCGTGAGTCTGGCACTAGTGATCAGTGTCAGACTCATTCCAGTCCTCTCGCCGGCTCGCGATGCTGAAGGCATCATGCTTTGCCGCGGGCGAAGAAACGCTCGAGCCGAAGCGCAAATGATGAGGGCCTGGTCGCCAACGATGAAAGCCTACTCGTAGGCAAAATTCTTGAGTGTTGCCTTTGTTGTTGAGAACGAATTGAGTTCAGGTAAGTGCGTCCCGTTGAAGGAGACTCTTCACTGTGCGGTAGGGGTTTAACATTTGCATCTTCGGTTTGGTTCTGTTGCAGCTGCTTACAAGCACGCCGATGGAAAGAAAATCGACGGTAGGAGGATTGTGGTGGACGTGGAGAGAGGTCGCACAGTCAAGACATGGAAACCAAGAAGGCTTGGTGAGTCACCATGCACAGCCTAAGATCAGTGTGCATATTCTTCACATTGTTCTTTATACTTTTCCAACGGTACTAACAAGGAGAACTTGTTTATCAGTCTAGTGTTTTTCTATCTGTCGATCATTTTCTTTTCTCTCGTAAACTAGATGTTTGATTTTGCGGTGGCACTGTAAGGCGAATTTAATGTGAGTCATTCTTAGAGGTTAAAAGACTGCAAATGAAGCTGCAGTTCACATTTTAACCAGGCTGTAGTGATGTACCGTACCAACAGCAGTTAAAAGCCAGTCTTTCCTTTAATCCCAATGAACGTGCTCAAAAAAGGATTTATTTTGCCGTAGTTATCTATCGATGATAGCTTACAGAGAAATTTTGTCTATTAAAAAGATGTCTTCTAAATCGCTTTTTTGAAAATAACAGTAGACGAGGTGGATAGGAAGTTGAAAGTGTGATTGTGGTGGCACGGTAAACAATATATTTCGTCTAAGGCCCTAGCCCCTTCGTAGACTAGTGCCATTAAGGAAAGTATAGACCTCAGAAAAGGAAGGGGAGGAGAGACGGAGACTACAATTGTCGTCACGCTATGTATTCTAAGAAGGTACCTCCCCTCCCCCTCCATTCCCATGCAGCCCATCATAGGCTGTACCCTTACACCATGCAGGGCACAGAACTAATGAAACATTTTGTTCCACAGTTATTAAAAGTAATCATCGGCCTGGCTTAACTTGGCCTCAATTTCTGCCGTTTTCTAAGGTCAAGCCTCTGAGGAGTGGGTCCAGCGCTATCTCTGGGCGCTCAGTATTCAGTGCCGTGATCTTTTGTTAACAGTAGAATTTGCTGTTAGAATTTGCTTTTCTGATACTGAAAGGCATCTTTTCGTCCGCAGGTGGAGGACTCGGAGGAACTCGTATCGGAGGACCAGACGAGAATGTAAAGCACTCTGGACGTGTGGAGAATACTGAGAGATACGAGTATGAGTTTTGCGTATTGGCGCAAATCATATACTTTTCTACCACGAGTCTTTTTGCCTGAGCCTGTAAATGTAGCTTTCGCCTTATCGGAGTTCATAATTGGCATAGTTGCCATAATATGTGAAAATTATAAATATTTTGTGCTGCGGGAAAGTAACATTTACTGGAGAAAGATTATCCACTGTCACAAACACCGCACTGAAGTAGTTACAAACGACTCTCGTATATTTCCTTTATTGCAATCATCTTTTACGAATATCGTAACAGTGTTACCAATGGCCAGCTCATACTTGGCTAGGTGTCTTATGATGTTTCATCTATTTGACTCAACTCATTTACTTTCCAGGGACCGTGAACGCGGCGAGAGGGACAGAGGAGGAGATCGCGAGAGGGAACGCGATCGCGAGCGATATAGGGACCGTGAGCGTGACAAAGATCGTGAGCGTTACAGGGAGCGTGACCGAGATCGCGATAGAGATCGTGATCGTGACCGCGAAAAGGAACGTCGAAAGCACCGAAGTAGGTCACGTGAAAAAGAGCGTGAGAAAGAGCGTGACCGTGATCGCGACCGGTAAGGGATGCCCTTTCATTTTGTACTTCCATAGTTAGATATTCTCATTTCCCTCGCCCTTTTCTGAGTATAACGCTCTCTTTTCTTTCAGGGACAGAGAGAGGCGGCGTGATCGTGACCGTGATAGAGATCGTGATCGCGATCGTGACAGGGAAAGGGAGCGCGACAAAGAACGTGACCGTGACCGTGATCGTGACGGAGAAAGAATGAAAGAGGAACCGAATGGTGAATACCCACAATATGACAACGACAACCAGCTCGACAACAATAACTTGGAAATGGTAGATTAACACAGGTAGTTTTTTTTCATTTTAGGGACCGTTCATTTTTTACAAGGTAGGGGGGACTGGTGGGATCTGGGGGGGCCACCAAAAAAAACCGCCTCAAAGGGGGGGCCATCTAAAGAAAATAAGGCAAAGGGGGGTCACGTAAAATATTTTAGTAATGCCTTAAGATGGGATGTGTTTTACTATTCTTAAAATTTACCTGAAGGTCATGGAAAAAATTAAACGACCAAGGGGGGTCATGCAACTTTTTAATGAACGTTCAAAAAATCCCACCAGCCCCCCCACCTCGTAAAAAATGAACGTTCCCTTACAGCTCATAACATTTGGACCCCTCAGCCTCTCAGTAACTGGGATTCTAACCGACTGTAATGCTAAATGATTCTCTAAGTCGGCTCCTCGAGGTAAGAAAATGTACTCAGTGAAAAGTTTTGTTAGTCGGTTTCACCATGAAGTGGTGTGCGACATGAATTCCTTTACCCTTATTAAAGTTTTTGTTTTGTTTTGTTTTGTTTTTTTTTTTTCAAAAAATGTTTTGCCCTTTCAGATGAAGTTGTAAGAGTCCATCGTCGCCTTTGCACTGACTGACTGACTGACTGAAAGGAAAGGAAAGCATGATCAAGAGCTGAAATGAAGAAAACAGATTCATTGTGCATTATAAAATCGTCTAAGGTTTAATTCAGTCTATCTTTTAAGAATGCACCTTTCCTACTTTCTGAGTATGCCTTGGCAGGTCACACAGCGTCACTCTTAAAGCCGTCGATGAGACAAGCTACGCTATCAACCAAGAAGAAACTTTGAAGGTTAATTATAGCATGATGGTCTATTATTTTTCACCTGCAGCTGTACCCTAGTTTTTCTATGGGGGCGGCTATTGTAACATATCCTTCTTACATTCTGAGCTGATATTCTGTTATGCCCAGCTGCCTCAGACTTAAAGCATTAGATAGTGCAGGCAGATTTGTGAGAATTGATGAAGTAGGACTTCAAAGTTGACAAGGTTACCAGCATTCCTGTGTGCGGTTACGATTACCTCATTTTATCATGCATTCATTGTAATTTTTCGGCAGTTGTTCGTAGTTTTATGTTAAGCCAACTATAGGTATTGACCTTTTTATCAACAAAATTTTAAATGAAACCTCTAGAATGGACTTGCCGAGTTTAAATAAAAAATGAGACAAATAACAAAGAACCATCTTCTGCTTTGTGTTTAGAAAATCGAGTTATGAACGAAAAGCGGAAGTGGGTGTTTATCATTTTCATGATCGTGCTGATTCCCGAGAAATAGATCTTGTTTGGGATTCTTGATGAAACGTCAAACAATTTTGTAACATTTCATGGAGATGACAAAATGATTTCAAAAATAGGTGGGGAGGGGGGGGGAGGTGGCTCTTAGTACTCGTTTCTGAGGTACGAATATGATCTCCATTTTGACCCATCCCGTGCAAGCAAGGTTCTGTCTTTTTTTTCTTTTTTCACCTTTTCATATGAATCAAACTTAACATTCATCTGGCTGATAAGTACTTCTTTGACTTCCTAATCACTTTTCGCTTGAAAATGGGTTCTATTCCGAGCGAGAGAGAGGCGTCTAAGGGGCGTTCGATCCAACAGTGTATTACGCTAGTACCCAGATCATCATCCTTCTATTGGAAGAATGCCAGGCTCCCAAGGCACTGAAGAGTTACAGTCACCGGTGAGTCATAAGAAATGACGTAAGATATTACAGCTGGCTTTCTGGCCCTTGTTACTGTGTTTATTCAAATATTTGACATATTTTTTTATGATGACGGATAGAAATTTTCCCAACGAACTGTTAAAACTCAAGGGACGACAGCCGCTACCGCAGAACTATCAAAACCATATGAACAATATGACTGACACAGGTCCTCGATCATTCAAAAGTAAGTGGCAGGCTTGAAGTTTCGTATATGAGAAACAGCTTCTTTATCCAGCTGTCATCGTCGTATTCAAGCTTCGAGAACGCGTTGCTCTTGTAAGGAATATAGACTATTATTGTTATAGGTTAAAAATATGGGCTCTTCGCTTTGGCCTTCACGACTTACTTCATGTGTTTCCGGTGTGTGCGTGACAAAAGCATTCTTCGCAATCTTGTTCTAGCTTTTCTTCCATATCTCACGAGCCTATGTTAAATCTGCAATAATCCTAGTTGCTCCAAAAACACGAAAGCTTGGGCAGCCAGTCAGTCTTGTGTGCAGATTAGAACCATTTTCCATTGAGTCTTTAAAGTAATCCAGGATTGCTTTGGTTGTGTTTTCCTCTCTGATTGGTCCAGACGTACAGACAGTACAACTTGTGTTTCTCTTTCAAATAGACAAATTCAAAACTAAATGATGATGATGATGTCTTTTTCACTTGGCTCTCATGTTTTCTTGCTTTTTCTTTGAGTTCTCAATGGCTGCCTGTGATGTTTTCCTATGTTGTGATGGTAATGGCTGTGTTTGGTTAATTTTTATATTGTGTTTGGTTCAAAAAGTGCACGAGTTCTCTCTTTTACTTGGGGCAATACACTAATGGATGAATTTTTTATCTTTCAATCCAGAGGAAACATCACAAAAATCAGAAAACAATACAGGACCCTTCATTGTATTAGGCCTGATATTTTTCACATCCTTAGTGGCAATAGCCTTTGTGTACTGGAGCTTTCCCAAGCTAAGACCGTAAGTCCTGATACTATTGATCTGATTGTTTGTTCAGAAGAACTTTATTGGTTGTTAAAATAAGTGGGCAGTTGATTATTTTGTACTGTAGAAAAAAAAAAAAAACATGTTTAACCAGTCAGCTGCATGTGCTACACTTCTCTATCTACTTTGTAAAGAATAGAAGAAATAGACATTAAACAAAGCAGTTGGGAAATGAATAACTTATTCGACATTTTGGTGTGAAGAGTATTTTAGCTTGTTGTTTGTAATTTGACTCATCCAGCGAGCTTATCACATTACTGCTCAACTAATAAAAAATGTTCAGCAACAATACACACCAAAACATCTCTTAAGATATATGTATTATAACAATTCCAACTTGGCATCAAGAAGTCTGACTTAGGTGACCTTTTTGAAATCCTTCAAACCTCGCAAATGTATGATTATTAAATAAATTTTTCTTTTCCAAGAAGAGTGCAACAATTAAGAGGGAAATGTAGTTGATTTTAGTTATACAGGAGGATTTGTGTCAGACAAAGAGTACTTTCTCCCATTTACATAACTTTTTGGCATATAAAGGTATGATATTATATAAAAACTTTATTTAACTCTCAAACTCCCAAGATCCAATTAGTAATTCTCCTAACTGACTGTTATACATTTTCTCATAAATAAGACAAGATAATGTGGTATTTTATCAAGATAACACCCTTAAGCTGATAAGTGCATTTGTTCTCATTACCTGTTTGCAAGATACCATATTGGAATCACAAAGAAGTTGCACATTAATCACGTGGTACAGTAACTGGTACAGTAACTTGGTACAGTAATGCGCATTTGAGCATATCCACATGGAATTTGTGCACTATAAATGCTGTATTATTTATTATTAACTACCTATTGTAGTCCTTACATTTTGAGTTTGAGCAACTTCTTCAAGCTGTAATGGTCTCACTAGTATGAGCATAAGTGCCTTTAAAAAAAACTGCTTTTGAATGTAATGTTTACAATAAATTTCACAATTCAGAGGGAAGACAAGGCAAGGATAAAACTTCCAAGAGACATGGAAGATGCAAAAGGATTAGGAAGAGCATTGTCCAATTACACAGATGAATATTTCACTCAAGTTCTTCTAGGCTTTGTTGTCATTTACATTTTGTATCCTTCATGAAGTTTTTGTTCTGTTTT